TACTGCTACTGCTACTGCCACCACCGCCGCCACCACCGCCGCGGCCACCACCACCACCGGCGCCGCCGCAGCCGCTGCCACCACCACCAGCAGGCGCACGATGCATGTTCGAGTTGAAAAGGAATCGTCAGGATGTGCCCATGTGTAGAACTGACTCCCTTTGCGGTACTTACGGCCAACTTCGCAGGTCTTTTCTCGGACACGTCAAACCACGGTTGCTAGGTCCAAAATCCAAGTTCAAGGCCAAACTCCGCTGGTTTTGGCTACTTTATCAACTGCTTTTTGGGGCCCTGAAATCCAAACTCAGTCAGTCATGTTCTTAGACTCCTAGATTAAGCAGACCTTTGCCGCACCAGCAAATGTAAACCACCGAAGCATGGAAACCATCATGAATTCAAACATTGCACGAAGTATTTACGCGTTTACCATGTTTGAGGTTGTAAAGTAGTTCTGACGGAAGTGTTCCGCCATCGATCGAGTTTAAAGCTTTAAGACATGGAAGCAATAGAACATGCATGCAGTGATGGTATTTATGTTAACATCTTGGCCATGTGGATGCAATTGAATGGACGCATTGGTAGCATGGGTGTTGCCACCGCTGCTGCTGCTACTACTACTACTACTACTGCTGCTGCTGCTGCTGCTGCTGCTGCGGCTGCTGCTGCTGCTACTACTGCTGCTGCTACTACTACTACTACTACTTCTTCTTCTACAACAGCGGCAACGATGACTACGACGGCTACTGCGTTGCTGCTATCATTATCTATCATTATCATGTTCTTCTTATGGGTGTTCTCGCGTCTAGCATACACTGTTCGTCATGCTTGGCGTTGTTAGCATGGATGACGATTCTTCCGAGCAAGAAAGAGGCATGTGAAGTTTGCTGAGGCGCTTGCGCAGACTTCGTGTTCGCCCTGTCTGTCGTCGACTTTACACACTTGGGATCTCTGTTGTCCCCGCAATCACTTGCTCCTCGACAGAGATGCACTTCATGGAAGAGGTAGTCTGCCGTAGGCCGCTTGGGGGGCCTTCTTCCGATGCAGTTGGGGTTGGGGGGCCTTGGTGAATTGGCCTAGAGTTCCTGAGAACCAGGTGGAGGTTTGAGATTGCATTCTCTCTTCTAATGTTGAAGCCAACCTCTTGCATCAAGCAGCTCAGTTTTGTGGACAGTTTTGCTGAAGTTGTTTTCTGTAGATACAACCGTATACAATGATTGGAAAGAGGCTGCATCAACCCAAGGCATGCCCCGGGCTGGTGATGGTCGGAAGCTCAGTGCTGCAGTACTCAACAGCCGTAATAGCAATCCTGATAACAGTAGTGATAGCAACTGTAGTAGTGGTAACTGTAGTAACCAGTAATGCAGTACCACTAAAAGAAATAAGTATCGTAATAGTGATAGTCGTAGCACTAGTAATAGTCATCGTAATAACTCTAATATTGGATGACGTCCTCAGCGTTAAGCGCCGCTGTCCCAGCTTTCCCAAGCGAGGTGGCATATGACTTCCTGCACCTGGACCTGTCATTGCCACAACCTTGGGCAACCAGGGGTTCAGGGTTTAGGGGTTGGGTTTAGGGCTTAGGAGCGTAGCGGTGAGGATTTAGCAGGACAACTCCCGTGCCCTTCTTAACGGGTGGTTAGTAGGGAAGAAGGGAATATAATCCCTATACAACCCAGTACACCGTAATGTACTCCCTGATGCCCTTCTAAGCCCCGCTAAGACATTCAGAACTCGAAGTGCCACAAGCAAGTTGCAGCCCATCTCTCCATTGGCGTGGGGCTCAGGCCTTTCAGGAGTTTTGTCTGAAGTGGCAGTGCGCTGCCGCTGTTCGGCAGGGACCCCAGTTGCTGGTATGTCAGGCAACTGTGTTTGTTAGAAAGTTTCGTGGAATTTCATTTTCGTGGCTGAATGGCAGGTGCTCTCCGCCCTGGCGCATCGCCATTGGTGGTAGACTCCACAGGTCTGGGATTGACGGCGCTTGTCAGGAGCCTTGATAGCCGGGGCTTAATATGATGTGAACATTCTGAGCTGCCTTTTTGCAAGGAGCGCTATGCGATTGGAGAGTGCTCCGCCTTCACCGGAGCATGCACAACTGGAAAGTCTCACGCCCTTGCGGAGCTCTTCACAAGTGGGGTCTGCTGCGCTCGTAGCCGGCATGCTTCGAGCAGGCCCTGTGTTCTCCCTGTTTGTCATTGACGCGGCATATCTTGATGCCCCGCTTCTGGCTCGCAGCATGGCGCATGTTGGCTCAGCAGTCTCTGCCTTGAGCTTCTCTACGGTGGCATTATCTCTGCTTTTCCAAGGCTCTTCCAAACCAGAAGTCATCGCATCCACAGCTGGTCTCTCGCGTGTAGGATCAATCTTTGCCCTGCCTGTGACAGATGGTACTCACCTCGGGCCACTGCTGCCCGTACAATCCCGTGCTCGCGCAAGCCCCGCTGCATCAGCATTGGGATTTACTTGTCCTGCATCCCTGCTGTCGCCGCATGGACCCCATAGGACGGGAGTTGTAGTGCCTGCATCCGGCATGTCTAGGGTCGGCGTGCCATTATCCGCAGTAGACCTCGCCAGACTTGGCTCACTTCCGTCACTCAGATCTTCAGCGTGTATGGACTCGTTGCTTCTGGTTTCGGCATTCAGCCACTCCGACAGTTTGGTTTTGCTCAGAGGCGTTGCGCGGCCAGAAAGTACAGCCTCAGCATTGGGCTTGTCCTGTTGTGGCTCAGTCTTCTCACTCTTAGTGATGGAAGGAACTAGACTGGGCTTTGCATCGTTTGCGCACAGCTTCTCTCGAGCTGGTGCAGGGCTGCTACTCTCCAGCTTCCAGCACTTCGGCCTGTTCATGTTCCTGAGGAGCCTCAGCAGAGTAGGCCTTCCCGTGTCCGTCTCCGGTTTGGGAAGAGCTGGTTCTGTGTCCTTGCTGCTGATCGTGGACAATGCGCAGCTTGATTTGTTGGTGTTCCTGCGAAGCCACAGCCACTCGGGATTCTCGTGTTCCGTACTGAGCCTCGCAAAGACAGGGCCAGCATCGCTGCCACAAAGCACGAGCCATGCTGGGCTATCCTTCTTGATGTTGGGCAGCGCCTGCTTTGGTTCTTCGGCCCTCGTGCTGGACTCTGCCAAAATGGGTCTGTCGCTTTTCGCGCAATCGCTCGCTCGATCAGGCCTCACACTCTTGGTTGCAAACTTTGTTGAGGCCGATTCTCTGATGCCGGTGCATGGCTTTGTGTGCGTGGGCAGCCTGGCGTTCTTGCCTGGTATTTCCCGAGCAGGCTCCGTGTCCTTGACGTTCGTTCCTGACCTTACAAAGTTGGGATCTTTTGCTTCGCTGCAAAGTTTCAGCAGAGCGGACACGGCAGCTTCTGCTCCAGAAGTTTCACATTTGGGCTTTAGCTCGCCCCTGAAAAGCTTTCTCCAAGCTGACCCGATTGTGCTACTTGTCGGGCTGTCTCGCCTGGGCAGCATCTTCTCTTTGTTGGTTGTGGACTTCTTGCAGCTGGGCGCACTGCTGTTGACCAGGTCACATGCGCAACCAGAGACCTTGCTGCTGGTGGTGGACTACCTCCGCACAGGCTCGTCTTTGTTTTCGCGAAATCTCAACCAGCCTGGCCTCCCAGCCCCGGCTTTCGGCAGGGTGTGCATCGGCTTTTTCATGCCAGTTCTGGCTCCTAGCAGCTTTGGTCCAACAATCTTGATGCAAAGCCACGTGC